TCGGGTAACTACAGAAACGGATCGAAATGAAAAGTTATGCCTTAAAAAACGAGAACACACTAAGGATACCAAGATCCTTGTTTAAACCAGATACGTGTGTTTTGTGTCTGATAATGAGTTTGAGTTCCATGAGTCTACGTTGGTGGAGGGAGGAGAAATTAGTGGATATGAGGGCACACCGTAGGTTGCTGAGAGAATGGTTGGGAGAGTTAAAGTGTTCTGCTACAGGAAAACCAGTGCGATTGTGTCGGATAGAAGATTTGTGGTTATTAAATCTAAACCTAAAATCAACACCAGTTTCGCCAAAATAATGACCATCATCACAGATATTGCAGAATAACATATATACAACATTGTGAGCATCACAGTTAAGAGAGGGGAGACGAATAGTGCAGCCAGAATGAGGCATAGAAATAGAGCAATCGGTGGTGATAAATTTACAAATTTGACATCTAGGCTTGTGGCATTTGGTATTACCAGCGGACCTACAGGATGAAAGTAAGCGAGATGAAGATAGAATAGATTTGAGATTGGGCGGTTGGCGGTTGGCTACTACTGGGGGATCATTGAAAATACTCTCCCGTTCCTCGATGTCTCGGTCAAGGTTACAGACGGGCAACTCTCGACTTCTTTGTACTGTAAGCCCACCGATCGTCACTGTTATCTTAACTATAACAGCTTTCATCCCCTTAAACTCAAACAATCATATTCAGCCAATGTCTTCGCATCAGACGAATTTGTTCCAACGATGATGACTACTTTGACCACGTCAACAAGCTCATGGCCTACTTTCTGGATAAAGGTTATCCTCTTAAATTCATCCTCAAGCAAACCTCTAGAGCTAATAGGTTTTCTAGACCTTCTCTCCTCTCTCCCAATCCTAAGCCCATCACGGAACGCATACCCCTAGTCATTGATTACAGTCCCAGCAATTCTCAAATATATAAGTCAAACAGACTTAAACAAGGATTTCAATCCCTCAAACTCGATCCCTCCATAAACACTATTTTCAATGATCCCCCAGTAGTAGCCAACCGCCAACCGCCCAATCTCAAATCTATTCTATCTTCATCTCGCTTACTTTCACCCTGTAGGTCCGCTGGTAATACCAAATGCCACAAGCCTAGATGTCAAATTTGTAAATTTATCACCACCGATTGCTCTATTTCTATGCCTCATTCTGGCTGCACTATTCGTCTCCCCTCTCTTAACTGTGATGCTCACAATGTTGTATATATGTTATTCTGCAATATTGTGATGATGGTCATTATTTTGGCGAAACTGGTGTTGATTTTAGGTCAAGATTTAATAACCACAAATCTTCTATCCGACACAATCGCACTGGTTTTCCTGTAGCAGAACACTTTAACTCTCCCAACCATTCTCTCAGCAACCTACGGTGTGCCCTCATATCCACTAATTTCTCCTCTCTCCACCAACGTAGACTCATGGAACTCAAACTCATTATCAGACACAAAACACACGTATCTGGTTTAAACAAGGATCTTGGTATCCTTAGTGGGTTCTCGTTTTTTAAGGCATAGCTTTTCATTTCGATCCGTTTCTGTAGTTACCCGATTTTATTTTATTTTATATTTTATTTTTTTGGAATAACTCATTACTATTATTATTATTATTATTATTATTATTATTATTATTATTATTATTATTATTATTATTATTATTAGTATTATTACTATTATTTTTATCATTACTATTATTATTATTATTATTATTATTATTATTATTATTATTATTATTATTATTATTATTATTATTATTATTATTATATTACTGCATTGCTTCATTCATTATTCTAGGTATATTCACTGGCCTAGCATACGTTACCGTATATTATTAGGTCTTCCTACAGTTGGCTCAGTTACAATCTCTATATGATCCATTTCTCTGAAATAACCATCTTATCTGTGTTGTGCCGGCCAATACAATGGATAGTTTATTTGACTAGTCTCTGCAATTAACACCCTTGGTTCTTTATTATTGTCAATACTCAGTATGCATAGATAAATAGACCAATCATTGTACAGTTTTATAAGTATTTCTCATTTGCTCTCTGTCACCTTTATTCTTTTTTGATAAGACAGCCTATATTATATTGATTCATGATGTTTTCC